GTCCTCCTGCTTTTATTTTTTTTTGTTTTTTTTTTTTGTTTTTTTTTTGCTTAGAATTGACTGGGCTATGCGGGCTCTCATTTGGTTCCATATGAAGTTTAAGGTGGTTTTTTTCCAGTTCTGTGAAGAAGGTCATTGGTAGCTTGATGAGGATAGCCTTGAATATGATGAGTTCGTGTCCTTTGTAGGGACATGGATGAACCTGGAAACCATCATTCTCAGCAAACTGACCCAGAACAGAAAATGAATCACTGCATGTTCTCATTCATAGGTGGGTAATGAGAACACATGCACACAGGGAGGGGAGCATCACACACTGGGGTCTGTAGGGGGGATATAGGGGAGGGACAGTGGGGGGTGGGGAGTTGGGGAGAGAGAGCATGGGGAGAAATGCCAGATATAGGTGATGGGGAGGAAGGCAGCCCATCACACTGCTATGTGTGTACCTATGCAACAATCTTGCATGTTCTTCACATGTACCCCAAAACCTAAATTGCAATAAAAAAATTGAATTGGAGGACACCCAGGTGGTATCTGCTGTAGAGCTGATGGTTTGCTTGGTAGTTGGGAGAAACCCACGTATTTGGTCACAGAAATCTGATGTGTTGATTGTTGCAGTGTGTGTTTTTAACGTTTTAAGCTACCTCTAAACTCAAGTAGCTTTTAGTAGAACAATGGAAGCCAGAAAACAATAGAATAAAATCTTTAAAGTGATCAAGGGTCGGGGGAGGGGAAACATAAAAAATGGAGGTGAGAGGGATTTGGGAAATATGGTAACATCAGTGGAACTGTAGATTTTGGTTCTTTCCAAATCACTGCATGGGAGCAGGATAGTTATCAAAACCAAAGCGTATGGATGACATTTCCAAAAGCAAAACCAAAGCTTAGGTGATGATGTATTCTTATGAACCCCAAAATACAAGGGGGATAAGATAAACTATTAGGACCCATAAGATTTGTGTGTTATCTGCAACTGTGCAGAGGAAAGCAGAGTGAAGCAGCAGAGCACTGACAGACCTGCGAATAGAAGAACCCCAAAACAGGTAGCATGCATCCACTAGAAAGCACAGTGTGCTAATGTAACACAACTGGTGGGTTTAGTTCACTGTAACAGTGGCTGAGTGCGAGGGACCCATAGTAAGGCCCCAGGGAGCTGAAACTGATTATTTCCTATTAATTTTCAAACTGAACCAACAGGACTTCATTCCAGGGCAGGGTTCAAATCTGAGGAGGAACTGCTTGGAGTGGAATCACAATAAGGATGATAGAGCAAAAAGTGGATGCGCTGGATAAAAGTGCTGGAGAGAAAGAACTGGATAATCTCAGAAAACAAACTGTCCTTTTTTTTTTTTTTTAACAACACACAGGCACACATACACACACACACACATACACACACACGCACAACAATTGTTGAAGAGAAACTACTAAGTTATAAAAGCTATCTAAATCAAAATCTCTTCACATAGTCCAGGAAGAATAATTTCACATGAAAATGAGAAACAAAATATTAAGATAAAATCCCATATGAATCTAACATGAGAAAAAATGTGAATAAGAAGTGGAATAATAATCCTACAGAATAACTGGGAAGATATATTCAAAAAATAAACACAACTTTAATGTTTCTAAATGATTTTTAAGAAAATGATTTAAGAAATCTTTAAGAAACTGACTCAGGACACAAAAGAGCAACACAAATCAGAATTAAATAACAGAAATTCATAACAGAACTTAAGAATCGGATACAACATTTTAAAAAGACTTAATTCATATACAGGTTTTTGTGGAACATAGATTTTAATTTATCTTGAATGAAGAGGAGTGAAAGTATAATTGCTCGGTCATTTGGTAAGTTAGTCATATGGTAAGTTAGTATGGTGAGTTACATGTTTAATTAAGAAAGTACTATACTCTTTTCCATAATACTATACCATTTATATTCCCATTAGCAATATGTTAGAACTTTAGTTTCTCCAAATCCTTCCCAGCATTTTACATCCTCATGATATTTTTAAAATTTTAGCCATTCTGATAGGCATGCAGTAATAATAAATTTTGAATCAGATGTTAGTCCTTAAAAATCATTCTTCTTTATCAAGTTGTTTTGCCTGGCAGCCCTGAGACCTGAGCACCAGCTCTTCTGGGGCGGGGTCCCCTTAGAGAGAACCACCCAGGCCTCCTTGTAAGCCAGCATCTTACAGGGAATCTGTAAGATTTTAGAATCTGCTTGTAGAGCTGATTGCTTCCTTTGTGGTTGGGAGAAACCCCCATATTTGGTCACAGAAATCTTATATGTTGATTGTTCATAAAAAGACTGCTGAGATTTGATTGGCATCGTGTTGAATCTTGAATCAATTTGGGGAGAATTGACATGACAACATTGAGACTTCCCATCTATAACATGGCATCTCTCTCCACTTAAGTGGTCTTTAATTACTCTTATCACTTTAAAGTTTTCAGTTTATAAGTTTTACATATTTTTTGTATGCTTTATACTTGAACATCCAAAACTTTGAATGTGATTATACAGATATAATTTTTTAAATTAAAAACAAATTTAGAGACAAGGTCTTGCTATGTTGCCCAGGTTGTACTTAAACAGCCTCCTGAACATCTGGGACTCCAGGAAATTTCTATTTCCAATTGTTTGTTGCTTGTATATAGAAATACAATTGATATTTGTATTTTGATCCTGAAACCTAAACTCACTCATTAGGGCAGTCACTCCTTATAGATGCCATTGGATTTTTTGAATACATAAACATGTTATCTGAGAATAGAGACAGTTTAACTTATTTCTTTCCAGTGTAGTGTTTTATTTCTTTTCTTTCTATATTTCGCTGACTAGAATCTCTACTTGAATGCTGAATAGAAGTGGTGAGGGCGGATATGTTTGCTTTGTTATTGATCTTCGGAAAAGGACTTAGTCTTTTACCATTAAATATCATGTTTACTATAGGTTTTCATGAGTTACTCCTTAATAAGATGAAGAATTTTTCTCTCGTAGTTTGCTGAGAGGCTATCATGAAAAAATACTGAATTTTGTTAAATGCCTTTTCTGCATATATTGAAATGATAATATGAATTTGCTTTTCTAATTTGTTAGTATGGTGAATTACATTGATGGAATTTTGAAAGTTGTGCCTACCTTACATTTTTAGGATAAACTCCACTTGATCATGATATGTTACCTTTTCCATATATAGTTGAATTAGATTTGGTAACATGTTCTGAAGAATTACTGGATTTATGTTCATGAGGGATATTGATCTGTAACTTTTTTTCTGTTAATATCCTTTTTGTTTTGGTTTTCCTAACAGGGTAATAGTGGACATAGAGAATGAGTTGGAAAGTATTCCCTCATCTTCAATATTAAAAGACTTTGTGAAAAAAATGTATTTTTTTCTGAAAAGTTTTGTTTTCATTCCATAGTGAAGCCTTCTGAGCCTAAACTTTTATTTGAGGGCATTTTTTTCTCACCTTTGTTGAGATATAATTGACAAATAAAAATTGTATATATTTAATATGTACAACATGTTTTAATGTACATTTAAAATGTAAATATTTACCACCATTGACTTAATTAATATATCCATAAGCTTACCTAGTTACCATTTTTCTTTGATAACAATTTATACTTTTCTCAGCAAATTTCAAGTACACAGTACAATATTATTAACTATAGCCACCATCCTGTACATTACATCTCAAGAATTTATTAACCTTACATATGTGAAACTTTACAGTTTGATCAACATTTTGCTATTTCTCTCACCCTGGTCCATTCTACTTTTTGCTTCTGAGTTCAACCATTTACGATTCCACATGTGAGTTAATGCAGTATGTATCTTTTTGTGTTTCATTTATTTTCCTGTATGGATTTCATGTGGTATGATTTTCCTCTGCTTTCCATACCTACTTCAACGTTTCTCATGGTAACCTACTGTGGTCAAAGAATCTTTCTCATAGTGACCTGTGGTGAAAGAATCTTTCCATTATTTTGTTTTCTGTATTGCTTTTTGCAAAGGTTGTACATTTGAGATATGGCGAATGCTATTATAAATTCAGTTAAGTAATTTTACATTGAAAATAAAATTGTTTTATGAATATGAACATAATATGAATACCAATTTTGCTGGAGCACAGCAGGATGATACAATGTTATTATGAAGTTAAGAAATTTAGGAAGCAGAATGTACTTGAGACTAGTGTTGGTGCATTATAATTTTGATCAAACTGTGATAGTGTATTATTTAAAATATAACTCATTGTCAAAAGTTACAGATACCTTTGTATGCCATAGAATGACTAAACTGAACTTTTTTTGTGATGAAGACTGTTTTGAATTCCTTCTCTTTGTTTGAAACAAACAAAACCTCGGTATGGCAGGATGTTTTCTACTCTTTGTTCCCAACAGCAGTCACATTTTTAGAAATGTCCTAAATTTATTTCACTACTTTGCGAATCAATAAAATGGTGTTGCATATTTTATAAATGATTCTTCCAAAATTCGGTTGCATTTTCTTTTCAAAAGGAGCTGAACATCTTTAAACAAAACAGTTAATATATTTAGATTGCCAGAAAAATCTTCAGCTTTGTAAATAAAGATTACAAATAAGAATCTATTGAACTTTATCCCTAGAAAGCAAGGAAAAAAAATTGAAATGGAAACAACGTGTAGAGGAACTAGAGGTGATAAAGCTGTATATTAAAAAACACATATATATTTTTACTCTTTAGCACATGCCTGTGTGCACTCATGCAAGCACACACACACAGTTATTTGAGGAATACAGCTTTTCCAATGTTATCCATATTTAAGTTTCCTCTATAAACAGTAATCTTGGTAGAAGTAATTCATTAAATTTTTATATCAATACTGTGAAATATACTTTCTTATGATAAAATCTTATATACATTTTTACCTTTAAAATTTCCTTAATTAGCTTTAATACCTTCCCAAAAAAGGTGAGAAGCATGTACATTTTGTGCCCCACCTCACATTCTCTTGACAATTGTTTTCCTCCAGTCATTGTGCAAAGTAATCTGAAAACATTTCATTTCGTCTCCATCATGTATCTTTATCTTTCTATTTCCAGGTTTCTCTGTTCAGTGTGTAGAATTCCTGGTAGAATCCAGTCATCTTTTGTGACGCGTACAAAACCTGGAAGTGAAAGGAGTAATCACAAAATAGCGCAACACTTCTCCAACTTAGAAATGGGAACTGGTGGCTGGGCGCGGTGGCTCACGCCTGTAATCCCAGCACTTTGGGAGGCCGAGGCGGGTGGATCACGAGGTCAAGAGAGCGAGCCCATCCTGGTCAAAATGGTGAAACCCCGTCTCTACTAAAAATACAAAAATTAGCTGGGCATGGTGGTGCGTGCCTGTAATCCCAGCTACTTGGGAGGCTGAAGCAGGAGAATTGCTTGAACCCAGAAGCGGAGGTTTCGGTGAGCGGAGATCGCGCCATTGCACTCCAGTCTGGGTAACAAGAGCAAAACTCCGTCTCAAAAAAAAAAAAAAAAAAGAAATGGGAACTGGTGTGTAAATTCTCCTTGATTCTGTCTCCAGTATATGATACACCTGAGATAATTTCTACAAGGCTTCTTAGGATTGAACCCCAAGTAATACTCTTAATTAGTGCAACAGAATACTGTAGTTTAATTTTCTTCCGTCATTTCTGTCTCTTCCAAGTTTCTCACTTTTTTTCTTTGAGATAATTTAAAATCAAACAAACAAAAAACTATCTGCTTATAAGCCTTTGTATTCAGCTCTACTTTTGGAGAGGACCTAGGCATGAGACAAATTGAAATATTTTGAGGTATATGCATTCTTACTGAGCATCTTTTTTTAAATTAAAGGTTCAGAAAATGAAATTCATCATATTTCAGAATTTTATGGACTACCTTCTCTACTAATAAAAAAAGGACAACTTTACAGGCAGAGTGTTTGGAACTGCTGTTGATTAGGAAGAATAATTTTTTGTGCAACAATAGCTGACGTTTCAAAACAAAATTACATTTCCATTGTCTAAAATGCCAGCTTTTCTAAACCATTTCAATTTTTGTCAAACTTTAGTTCTTTAAATAATGCATACAAGTGCTAAATGAATTGCTTTGTTCAGATCTGAATACACTACCTAAAATTTTGAAATTTTTGACTGAATCCTTATATATTTGTAGTGTAATTTTCTATACACTTATCAATACAGAAAGTTACTAAGACTTGCAGTTTATACCAAATTTTATGTGCATGACCCCAACTTTGGAGTATTCTAGACCATATTTCTCCAAAAAAGCCTATATTAGAGGTAATTTCTCCTATATCTTTTTTCCTTCAAAATCAGAAAGTTATGCAGTTTGTTATAGAGGGAAATAAGTTTTTAAGAAACATCAGGACATAAAAATTCACCCCATATATCTAACTAAAATGTGAACTTCTGGAAGGAAAGAATTTTTTTCTCATTTAAAAACTATTATATCCTCAGTGTTTAGAGCAATGGCTGACATAAGGTAGGTCTCGGTAAATATTTGTTAAATTGAACAGATTAATATATAAGAACTTAATAGAAAAGAAGCTCAATAGGTATATTCACAATTAAATCACCACTGAGATTTTTCTTTAGCCTACAGAATTTGGAGCAAAATTGAACAAAAATAAATTTCAATAAAGAAATTAGAAATATTTATCATACAATTAACAAAACAGTGTGTCTATAAATATATACAAATAAGTCTATGTAAAGTTAAAAATAAGTATGCATGAATGCAGCAGAGGAAATTTGGATTTTTACGGGTTAAATTGAAGATTCTTTTAAAATAATGAATAACAATTATGGATAATTATAGATTCAGTAAATATTACAAAGCTTAAACACGGCTGTAAAAAGATAAATAAATATTGTTTCTTCCCACTAGATGGCAGCAAAGATTTATTTTAGAATCAGTAAATCACCTGTCATTATACCGAATAATGTGTATCTTAAAAAGCTACTGTGTAAAAAATGCACATTTTGTTGTTGTTGCTATTCCTTAGAGTTTCAGCTTAATCAGAAAGGCTCTATCACTGGTGCCTAGAGTTTTTGCGACTTTTTATACCTGACTTCTCTCTTCTAAACTCTTCATTCTTTTTTTTTTCTCTCTCTCTCTTGCCTAGGCTGCAGTGCAGTGGCGCGATCTCGGCTCACTGCAACCTCCGCCTCCCGGGTTCAAGCGATTCTCTGGGCCTCAGCCTCCTGAGTATCTGGGACTACAGGCGCTCAACTAGTTCTGGCTTATTTTTGTATTTTTAGTAGCGACGGCGTTTCTAAACGCCAACCTGGTCTCGAGCTCCTGACTTAAGTGATTCGTCTGCCCCCCCATCAAAGTGCTGGAATTACAAGAAGAAACCACAGCACCCGACCTTATTTCATTTTTTAATATACATCCAAATTAATCTTAAGTTAGAAATCTGAACATGTTACTCTCTAAAAATACTTTGATAATTCCTTAAACCACAAGGAATAAAAAATAATCCTCTTATTTACTCAACCAATATCAGTAACCATGTTCTGTTTACATGGCACTATGTATCATGGACACTAGGAATAGAAACACGAATAATTCACGAAGCTTTTAATTTGAATGGTTTGGGGACTTCGAAGGCACAAAATGATAAGGCGAAGGGTAAGTTTGACTATGGATCATCCAGGTCTGGAACTCAGGGAGAAGATCTGGGCTTCAGAGGGCAGTTTAGAAATCATCCGCATGGAAGTTCAATTAAAGAGCAATAAGCATTATGGATAATTTACTATTAACTGATATGGTTTGGCTCTATGTCCCCACCCATATCTCATCGCGAATTATAATTAACACGTGTTTGGGGAGGGGCCTGATGTGAGGTGATTGAATCATGGGGTGGACTTCCCCCTTGCTGTACTTTTGATAGTGAGTGAGTTCTCAGGAGATTTGGTTGTTTAAAAGTGTGTTGCACTTCCCCCATCTCTGCCTCTCTTTCCCGTCCTACCGTGGTAGGGAAGTGCTTATTTCTTCTATGCCTTCCACCACGAATACGTTTCCTGAGGACTCCCGGTCATGCTTCCTGTTAAGCCTGCAGAACTGTGAGTCAGTTAACCTATTTGTTTCATAAATTATCCAGTCTTCAATATTTCTTTATAGCAGTGTGAAAACGGAGCAATAACACTGACTCTTAGAGTTATAATTGATCATTACAAACATACTCAAGAGCTACAGAAATGAGTAAAGTGAAATTCACACAGATTATTTCCATTGCCTATTAACATTTTAACACACATGTATCATATGTACATATTTATATTTCAGACTTGTCTTACACATAGACAAATTCTATGTGTACACTGTAAATATCTGTGTATCATATATCTGAAACAGAAAATAGAGAATTAGGATAGCCAGAGGTTGGGGAAGAAGGAAAGGAATAGCAGGTGTAGCCAATTCCAGGGAAAGGAAGACCAAGTACAGCCAGTTCGAGGTGAAAGAATAGCAGGTGCAGCCAGTTCTAGGCAAGATTAGGCAGCATACAGGCCACATCTTCACTCCTGTGATAAAAAGACAGAAATTTCCACTTAAGCCTCTGCTTGGTTGCAGGCCCATTCTTCATAGGATGTAACCAATTGGAGGCCTCTAAAGGGCACCTAGGGGTGTTGCCAAGTTATTTTGACTTTCTAAAAACCCTAATTGGAGAGGCTGTTGATCCACTTGCTACAGCTGTCTCCCACTCTGTGAATTGTCTTCAGTAAATCTGTGCTTTCCTTATTCCATTCTCAGTTCCTTTGTCTTTCCTTGCTTTTCTCTCACTTTTTTTCTGCATTTTGTTCGATTCTTTGTTCAACAGGCCAAGAACCTGGACAATTCTATCCAGTAACATATTTATGTATACATGATACATCATAAATAGTGCCATAATATGCATCCTATTTTTGTAACTGCAGTTCACTTAACAGTAACTCAGGAAGAGTGAGGTGGAGGACAGCAAGGACAACTCAAAAGCGTGGCCAGGAAGGTAATGAGAATCTAGAGAATAAGGTCGTGTAAGGCAAGAATTGAAAGACTTTTAGGAATGGGTAATTTATTGTCAAATGCTGTAGAATTAAGAACGGAAGCAAGAACTAAGAACTATTGGCTGAATTTGGCAATTAGACTGGATGTGACCTCTGCCAGAACAGCTTCTGGCATGGCAAAGTAGGAACCTTATTGCTGTGTTGAGAAGCAAAGAAGGGGTGGCAGTAATTATCAACTGTTTCTATGAGAAGATCCCTTTGAAAAGACAGGGAAAAAATATTCTTTTTTTTCCACAGCCTCATCAATGTCTGTTATTTTTTGTCTTTTTAATAATAGTCATCGTAAAGGTGTGAGGTGATATTTTATTGTGGTTTTGATTTGCATTTCCCTGATAATTAGAGATATTAAGTACTTTCTCATATGCCTGTTCACCATCTGAATTTCTTCTTTTGAGATATGTTTAAGTGCTTGGTCCAATTTTTAATTCAGTTATTTGTATTTTTGGTACTGAGTTAAGTTCTTTATATATTTTGGATATTAATTTCTTATTAGATGTATGGTTTGCAAATGCTTTTTCCTACTCCATCAGTTGCCTTTTCATTTAGGTGATTACTTCCTTTGCCGTGCAGAACTTTTCAGTTTCATGTAGTACTGGATATCTATTTTATATCACCAAGACTGCTGTCAAAAAGCTTTTCTCTGTTTTCTTCTAGGAATTTGACAGTCTCATGTTGTGTTTAAGTCTCTAATTCATTTTAGATTTTTTTTTAATGTGTGTGATGGGGTTCAATTAAATTTTTTTTTTTTGCATGTGGGTAACCAGTTTTACAAATGCCATTAGTTTTTAATCTTTTCTTTCTTTCTTTCTTTTTTAAAGAAACTATACCCATTATGCATTCTTGGCAATGAAGTAGAGGATAAATTGACCGTAAATGTATAAGTTTATTTCTGGGCTCTCTATTCTGTTCCACTGATTTAGATGTTTGTTTTTATGACAATACCATACTATTTTGATCACTATAGCTTTTTAATGGGATATAAAGTCAAGCAGTGTGATGCTTCCAGCTTTATTCTTTCTTCTTAAGATTGTTTCAGGATCTTTTGTGGTCCCATGTGAATTTTATGATTAGTTTTTCTATTTCTGTAAAAATTGGCACTGGAGTTTTGATAAGGATGACATTGAATCTGTAGATTACTTTGGGCAGTGTGAACATTTTAACAATTTTAATTTTTCCAATCCATGAACACGGAATGTCTTTCTATTTGTGTCTTTTGAAAATTTTCTTTTGGTAGAGTTTTCAGGATACAGCTCTTTCATTTCTTAATTTTCTAATCATTTCCTTACTGTTATTGTTGCTAATTTAAATGAGCTTGTTTCTTGGTTTACCTTTTGGGAAGTTTGTTGTTAGTATATAGAAATATCACTGATTTTTTATGTTAATTTTGTGTGATGTAATTTTATTTAAAGTTAGTTATAATAGTGTTTTATGAAGCCTTTAGGGATTTCCAGGCATATGATTATGTTATCTGCAGAGAGATGATTTTTCTTCTTCTCTTCCAGTTTGGATGCTTATTTCTCCTTCTTGCCTGATTACTCTGGCTAGGACTTCAAGTATTAGGCTGAATAGCTGTGATGAGAGTTGGCGTTCTTGCGTCTTTATAGATCTTAGAGAAAAAGCTTTCAGTTTTTCACTGTTGATTATGATGTTAGCTGTGCCTCTTTCATATATGTCATTTATTGTGCTGAGGAAAGTTTGTTTTATATCTGTTTTGTTAATAGTTTTTATCATAATGTTGAATTTGGTCCAATATGTTTTCTTGCATCTATTGAGATTATTATGTAGTTTATTCTTCTGTTAATTTAGCATATCACATTGATTTGTTATTATATTTTGAACTGTCTTTGTCAGGAATAAAATCTTCTCAGTCATGATGTATGATTCTTTTAATTCTTTTGCTTTTATTAAAGATTTTCACGTTTATGGTCATTGGGAATATTAGCCTGCAGTTTTCTTTATTTGTATTTTTTTTCTGCCTTTAGAATCATAGTGTTAGCTTCATAAAATGAGTTTGGGAGTATCATCTCTTTTATTTTTTGTTCAAGAGTTAAATAAGGGTTTGTATTCTTTGAACATTTGGATGAATTCACTCACAAAGCCTTCTGGTCCTCGGCTTTTCCTTTTTGGAAGGTTTTTTTTTACTGATCCAGTCTTCTTATTTGTTGTTGGTCTACTCTGACTTTCTGTTGCTTCTTAGTTCAGCATTAGTAGGTGATGTATTTCTCAGAATTTACTTATTTCTTTTAGATTATCAAATTTGTCGGTGTATTATTATTCATTATAGTTGTTTCTTCTTTTCATTTCTGTGGCATCAATTGTAAAGTCTCCTTTCATTTCTGTTTTTGTAATTTGAGTCTTCTTTCCTTTTTTGTTAGTCTAGCTAAGAGTTTGTTAATTTTGTTTATTTTTTTAAAAAACAACTCTGTTATATTTTCTATTGTTTCTCTATTCTTTATTTTATTTCTTTCTGCTCTGCTCATGATTATTTTCTTCCTTCTCTTGCCTTTTGTTTGAGTTTGTTCCTTCAGTTATAAAGTTAGGTTGTTTAGTTAAGATATTTCATTTTTAATGTAGGCATTTAACACAACAAAATTCCCTCTTATTATGTGGCTTTTGCTGAATTTCATAAGTTTAAGTACATTTTATTTTCATTTTTGTTTATCTCAAGATATTTAAAAAATTCCCCATTTGATTTTCTTTTACCCAGTGGTTGTTCAAATGCTGTGGTTTAATTTCCATGTATTTGAGCATTTTCCAGTTATGTTTTTGTTATTTCTCATTTCATTTCACTGTGATCTGAGAAGACACTTAGTATGGTTTATATATTTTAAAACTTGTTAACTTGTTTTGTGACTTAACATATGACCTATTTAGGATAATGTCCTTGTGTGCTTGAGAATAGTATTCTGCTGCTGTTGGGGAAGAAGGTCTGTGTAGCTCTATTAGGTCCCTTTGGCATAATTTTGTTTAAATTAGCTGTTTTCTTATTATAATTCTGCCTAGATGTTTTATTCATTATCGAAAGTGAGAGTATTGAAGTCTCTTATTGTATTGTCCATTTCTCCCTTCAGCTCTGTTCACGTTTGCTTAATATATTTATGTGCTCTAATGCTGAATGCCTGTATATTTATAATTGTCATACCTTCCTGTTAAAGTTTTTTATCATTACATAAAACCTTCTTTGTCTTGTGACATTTTTTGACTTAAAGTCTATTTTGTCTGAAGTAAGTATAGCCACCCTGATCTCTTTTTGTTACCATTTGCATAAACTATCTTTTCCCAGCCATTTACTTTTAGTCTATGTATGTCCTTTTTTTTTTTTTTTTTTTTTTTTGAGACGGAGTTTTCGCTCTTGTTACCCAGGCTGGAGTGCAATGGCGCAATCTCGGCTCACCGCAACCTCCGCCCCCTGGGTTCAGGCAATTCTCCTGCCTCAGCCTCCTGAGTAGCTGGGATTACAGGCACGCGCCACCATGCCCAGCTAATTTTTTGTAATTTTTAGTAGAGACGGGGTTTCACCATGTTGACCAGGATGGTCTCGATCTCTTGACCTCGTGATCCACCCGCCTCGGCCTCCCAAAGTGC